GTATCGAAGAGAGATTGAGAGCTCCAGTCTGTTCAGCCCCACCAAGAACATCAAGCATTTTTTTCCCACTTACTTTCAGACAAGGGAAAAGGAGGGAGGTAGAAAAATTTGAAAGTCGAAATCTTGCAAAAATAAATGCTAAAAATTTTCTTGAAATGTAATTGTGGGGAAAAAATAAAATACTTCCATAGAAATGTGAATTATAAACACTAGAGGGACCAGAGCTGTGGTACTTTTCTCAATCATAATGCTACAGAAACATGAAAATATGCTTGTTCATCCATTATTGCATTATTATGTAATGAAAATACTAATGACCCCATTTTCACCCTTATTTTTATTTCATTCAACTTGATTTTTAAGTAGCCTTCTTCCTCATCTTCAACTTTGAGCTCCTAAATATCGCTAAAACAGGTCAAATCATGGTGGGTACCAACTGGATTGCCACATCTATTCTGTACCCTCAGGGCCAAAGGGAGGATTGAATCATTGTTTATGGGTAGAACATACTGAAAAGAACTCTTGGGTCTTGTAAGATGGAGAAGCCAAGCAATTGACTTATTTTCTCATTATTGTACCCCCCTCTGGTTTAAGAAAGGTGAGAAGGGTTAGGAAGAACAATGTATAGCAGAAATGCAGCTTGGGGTGCAATGGTAATTTCCTTATTGACCTCACTCCCAAACACTTGGCACACTGTTGCTAGATCCTTTTCAAAAGTTGTTACTTCAACAGGGGACTCCACTAATCAACCCTAGGGGAGCTTCCCACTGTAACTTGTAACAAGAGCAACTTCTGACTGCTACCTTCAAATGTGCCTTCTGACTAGCCCCAAGCCATGCCTGACTTCTACCCTATACTGTATTTTATCCAAGATGTTGATTTTCTGATGGTCCCCATCCTTCAGCCCCATCTGTCTTCCCCCAAAGCTGTGTCTAGGGCTAGGCTCTCCCATGTATATGAGATAATTTTCTCCTTTTAATCCCAGCTCAAGTTATTCATCCTCCAGTATTCCCTGTTTAATGTCAGTTCTTCTCTAGCTCCTACTCCTACCCTCATCATTCTTTTAAACATTTTGTTAATTGAACCTGGGTACTTCCGTAGATTATATGCTGATTATCTTTGTTTCTCATGTTTGAATTTATCCTCAAGGCATCCTATATTATTTTCTGAAGACATAAATGTTGTTTAGTAATTTTTATTATTTTACATAGGTTCTTGATGTAATGATTCAGGAAAAGATTGCCTTCAACATTTGCACTGTTATTATGCATACTTGTTGAGTTCCCTCACATTGTGAGACTATATATATGTACATATATGTGTATATATACATATATGTGTGTGTGTGTGTGTATATATATACATACATATATATATATATATATATATGGGGAGAGAGAGAGTGAGAGTGAGTGAGTGTGAGCGTGTTCTGTTTCTGTCTCTCCCTCTTGCTCTCTTTCATTTTCTCTTTCACTCTTTCTCTCCCCCTTTCACTCAGGGGCCATCTCCAGTTGTTCTGATCTATATCTTGCCTCTGGGCCCAGATGGCTCCAGAAGAGAAAGTGAGGCTGGTGACTTTGCACAGCTCTCCCTCACTCAAATCAAAGTCAATTGCAAGTCATGTCATCATCTCCTTGATGTCATGGTCCTCTTTGAGAACAAAGGACAGACCACAACCATGGCACCTCCCACTCAATGATGAGCATTTTCACATTGTCTGAACTTCATTCCCTATCCCCCACTAGCCCAGCCCAAGCCACAGCTGGTCATTATTTGGGTTTCGATGGCTCAGAGTGAGTGTAAATAGCCATTGTTTCTGTTCTGGCCAGAAACCCTAGGGGTCTTCCACTCCCAGACAGGTTTTTTTGTTTTGTTTTGTTTTGTTGAGTAGGCAAAGGAGGACGTCTTCTTAAAAAAAATTTTTTTTAGTGAGGCAATTGGGGTTAAGTGACTTGCCCAGAGTCACACAGCTAGGAAGTGTTATGTGTCTGAGATCCTCCTGACTCCAAGGCCAGTGTTCTATCCACTGTGCCACTAAGCTGCCCCAGGAGGGCATCTTTTGCCTCATTTCTTACCTAGCCTTACATCACTGAATGGGTTTTGCCTCAGACAAACTGAGACCTGGGAAATACCTTAGTTTAAAAAGGCCAAGGCCATCTCCAGTTTTCCTTGTCTATGTCTTGTCACTGGACTTAGATGACTACTCTGGAGGAGAGAGTGGAGCTGATGACTTTGCACAGCCCCGCCTGACTTAAATCCAATTCATTTACCAGTCAAGACGTCACCGTCCTGATGTCATTGGTCCTCTTCAAGAGCAAAGGACAAACAACAACAGCCGGAATATTGTAAACTGAGAGGCTTCAAGTGAACCATTGCTGATTGTCCTTGGAGAAGGGACAGCAAAACTTAAGGGATACTTATTGCTCTTTAGCACCACCTAGAGTTCCAGAGGAGTGAAGATTTTCATAAGGGCTTATTGCTCTCTGCTGCCACCTCTAGGTTGAGAAGGAAAACTAGAGGGAACTTTGCAAAGACTGGACAGCTAGGTGGTGCAAAGCCTGGAGTCAGAACAGCTCATCTTCCTGAGTTCAAATCTGACCCCAGACACTTACTAGCCGTGTGACCCTGGGCAAGTCACTTAACCACTTTGTCTTGGTTTCCTCATCTGTCAAATGAGCTGGAGAAGAAAATGGCGAACCACACCAACCCGAAATAGGGGTCATAAAAAGTTGGACATGACTGAACAACAACAGAACATATTTCATCATGAATCCTCTGGAATTGTGGTTGATCATTTCATCGGTCAGAGTTGATCAACTTTGAATTAATCCTAAGTTTTCTGAAGTTGGTTTTCTTTACAACATGGTTGTTCTTGTATAAATTGTTCTCCTGGTTCGACTAAATTTGCTCAGCTTCAGTTCATTCAAATCTTCCTGCCTTCTCTGAGACTATCCCCTTCACTATTCTTTATAGCACAATAATATTCAATTACCTTTCTGTACCATGACTTGTTCAGCCATTTCCCAATTGATGGGCACTCCTGTCTCCAAACCTTTGCTTGTTTTTTTTTTCTGGCTATGCAATGGGGTTAAGTGACTTGCCTAGGGTCACACAGCTAGTAAGTGTTACGTGTTTGAGGTCGGATTTGAACACAGGTCCTGCTGAATCCAGGGCTGGTGCTGTATCCACTGTACCACCTCACTGCCCTTTCTAAATCTTTGGTACCACCACACACACACACATACACAGCTACAAATATTTTTTGTACATCCTTAGATATTGTTTTGCTTACACCTACTCCCTTCCTTTAACTACCCTTCTTCTTATTCTTTGGGCATATCATATTCCAAGCTCTCTGCTCCTTTATGGTAATGGCTGCTCAATCATATGTGTATTCTTACTGCGACTCTTTTGTACTTGAATTCTTTTTTTTTTCTGGCTGCTTGCGATATTTTTTACTTTGGCCTGGAAGCTCTGAATTTGGTCACAATGTTCTTTATTTATTTTTAACATTTACTTTAAATAGTATTTTATTTTCTCCCCACAATGACATTTCAAGAAAATTTTTAGCATTCATTTTTGCAAGATTTCAACTTTCAAATTTTTCTCCCTCCCTCCCCTTCCCTTGTCTGAAAGTAAGTGAAAAAAAAAATGCTCGGGATGTTATTGGTGGGGCTAAGCGGGCTGCAGCTCTCAATCTCTCTATCCTCTGTCTCAATTCCTTTTGCATTTTTGCTTTCCTGTCTTTCCTTCCTTCTCTCATTTCTGTCCTATTTCATTCCCCTACCTCCACGTAACAAACCTTATGTGTTGCAAAAAAGAAAAAGGAAAAAAAAATCAAAACAAAAATAAATCTCAAGTGTGTTGCAAAGTGTTGAGTCCTCTTGGTGGCCTCCATTTGTGTGACCCAACCCACGGAATTGAAGCCTGTCTGCTGTGTGTCCTGCCCACCCACAAACAACATGGAGTTCAGTGCCTGGAAGTTTATGATTATTGATGACAATGTGTAGAGCATGATTGTTTTTATACCAAGGACATTTCTAATAAAAAAAAACACATTAAAAAAATGCTTTGATCTGCATTCAGAGTCCATCACTTCTTTACCTGGATGGCATTTTCCTGCATGAGTCCTTTGTACTTGTCTTGGATCATCGTGTCGCTGAGAAAAGCTGAGTCATTCATAGAGACCATTACATGATGTTGCTGATACTGTGTACAGTGTTTTCCTGGTTCTACTCATTTCACTTTGCATCAGTTTGTACAAGTCTTTCCAAGTTTTTCTGAAATGTCTGTTCATCATTTCTTATTGCACAGTAGTATTGTATTTTTTTTTTTAGACAGTTGGGGTTAAGTGGCTTGCCCAGGGTCACACAGCTAGTAAGTGTCAAGTATTTGGTCTGAGGCTGCATTTGAACTCAGGTCCTCCTGATTTCAGGGTCAGTGATCTATCCACTGTGCCACCTAGCTGCCCCCTATTACTTTCTTTCTTCCCCTCTGTTCACATAGGGTATCACACCCATACCTGTGGGTGCTCTGCCCAAAGGGAAAAGGAGATGAGAGAAATGAATTAGGAAACCCATGCTTCTGGGCCAACTTATGACTGTACTGAAAGCCTTCCTGGTAAGCCCTTAATAAAAAAGCTACAGACTGACTGTAATCAGTCTGTGCCACTCGCCACTTGCTTATTTTCCCAGTTTCTCTGTTCTCCAGGTGGCCAAAGTCACCTCTCTGCTACTCTCAGGCTGCTGAAGCAGTTGTAAACTCTTTGGCTAATAGCAGTTTTAAGCCTGGGATCTATCTTAAGATCTTTCCCAGATCAATTTCCTTGTCTAACCACAATCAGTATGACACTTTTTGTGAAAAGAGGTTTTTTTTTTTTTACATGAGGCAATTAGGGTTAAGTGACTTACCCAGGGTCACACAGCTAGTGTCAAGTGTCTGATCTGAGATCAGATTTGAACTCAGGTCTTTCTGACTCCACTGTGCCACCTAGCTGCCCCAAGAGGTTCTTTTTAATCCTGGAATCTGCAAGACTATTCAGATTTCTTGTTACAAGAGGTCCCATGACATCACTCAGGTGATGTCTGATATTGCCCTTAGATTTAAGTTGCATCCCTATAGGGAGCCTACAGCTTTGAAGGGATTTTCCCTCTTAAGCTACAGAAGGAAATAAAGGATGACATAGGCAAGCCTCTGAGGGAGAGGGTGATTTCCCCTCTTTTAATTATAGATGGTGCTAAGAAGCCAACTTGCCTGTTTGAAAACAGCTTTTATTCCTAGAGTACAGCAGTATCACAATTTTGCTCCAGTCAGGTCAGATCCTTTCATCCAGTGAAGAGCCTGCCTGTACCTAAGCAGAAAGTTATCAGCTGACACTCTTTCAGTGAAAAGCAATTTCTTCAATCCTGGCATCTGCAAAATTATTCATATTTTCTTCTTATAGACTTTGAGGGGATATCCCCTCAAGCTATAGAGAGAAGGGGAAATAAAGAGCAACATAGTCAACTCTTGGGGTGAAAATTTCCCCTCTCTTAACTGTAGATGGTTCTAGAAGCAAAGCTTCCCCAAACAGTTCTTATCCTAGAGGACAGGATGTTGCCTTCTCCAATCAATTACCACTACCAAATTGTACTCCAATCAGGACAAAAGTCATTCATGAAAGTGAGAGCTGCCAGTCCCTAAGCAGTTGGTTTTAGCTAACACCTTTTCAGTGAAAGGCAGTTTCTTCCCTATAGTCCTGGAATAGCAAAGCTATTCAAAATTGCATCCTACAGGCTTGGAGGGGAATTTCCCCTCTTGAGTTGGAGAGGGAAATATAGTAAAGGACAACATAGTCAAGTCTGGGGGGTGTTCCCCACTTTTTGTTGCATATAGTGCTAGAGATCAATTGGGGTTAAGTGACTTGCCCAGGGTCACACACAGCTATTAAGTGTCAAGTGTCTGATGCCTGGGATTTGAACTCAGGTCCTCCTGACTGCAAGGCCGGAGCTTTATCCACTGTGCCATCTAGCTGCCCCACAGGCTCAAGCATTCTTTAAGTCAAGGTGGCAAAAAGTTTATTGTTACACTTTACAGCAGGCAAAGATTCTTAAGGAACCTGTGACCATAGAGGGGTACAGTTAAAGTTTATATAGGATAAAATATAGTGAAACATGTGCCAAATATGCTAACTAGGTGATTTAGGGCGGGATTAGGGAGTGATTAAGGAGTGGTCAGTTCTTAAAGGAACATGCACTTCTTGTATCTTACTGTGCAGGCATTTTACCCAGAGCCCACTAGGAAAAGGTGGGGGGGGGGCACGGAGGTTCAGTTTTGGGCCTGCTATGTCACTAAGTTAACTAGCAGTCAGGGGTAACTGACAGTTGTCTAGTCTGCCACCAGTCAATGTCTTGTTTGACAAGATAGATGTAGGGAGTATACATATTTCTTAGGTCTAGAATATAGATAATGAGGAGTCCAGGATGTAGATAATGAGGTAGGGCGGTAGTATAGATAGTCCAGTGGGTAGAATAACTTTATGACCCAGTGCAAAGCCAGGTCAAACTAATAATTCCTTCAGGTACTGTTTGTAACTGCACCAGGGAGAGAGATAAGTGTAGTGTCTTGCTGGGGCCCACTCATGAGTAATTGCTAGGCACCCTGTCCTTGGGCTGTGGTGAAACTTCCTGGGACAGTGTTTCTGAGGCTAGAGAGAAATTGGGGTCCAAACACAAGCACAAGCACCCAATCATACCAACCAGCTCTTATCCTAGCGCTTAGGATGTTGTCTTCTTCAATCAACTTCCAGTATCAGTTTTTCTCCCATCAGGTCATATCCTTCCTCAAAAGAACAGCCTGCTTGTTCCCAAGAAGCAACTATTAGCTGTCCTATTGTCTTATCATCGTATCTTCTTCAACTTCTTTTCTGACTTCTCATCTCCCTCAGTTTCTTGGTTCTGTCTTCTGTAAGCAGCATCAGTTTCTTTCACTGGCTTCTCTGAGTCTTCTCTACTGGCTTTGCAAGCCATGGCTTCTCATCAACTTTCTTGCCTAAAATCAGAGACACCTTTATTTCAGGGTGAGAAGAAAACAAAACCTACTTTTCTGTCAGTTTTATCAAAGATAATCCATATACAGTTATCAAATTTTAAATAAGCAGTTCTTTGATTCATCTTTTCTCAATGGTAGACTCTGATGTCCTCAAAGCAATCTTACTCAAATTAGCTTCTGGGAAATAAAGCCCTGCAGCCATCCTTCATATCAATAAATATTTTTGCTCCTGAGATATTTTCATTCAGGTCCTCTTAGCACTTTTATCTAAGGGTCTGTTTTCTCTCAGGTCTTGGGAACTACTTATGTTTCTTCTTAAGCTGTTTTTCTCTGTTTTTCACATAAATGTTCTTTTCCAGCTCTTTTCTGTAAATGTGAGAAAGGAATGATGCCTTAAAGTTACACTATCCTAGATCTCACCCTCAGACTCTTTCTTTAGTGCTCACTAAAATCCTTTCTTTTTTTTTATTGTCATAATCTTTATTATGTATGAAATTGTCTTCAATATAAGTTACATCCTGATTAAATCTGAGATAAGACTTTTTTTTTAATCTATTTAAAGGCTAACATGGTCCTTTATTCTGTACAATATCTTTAACTAGAGTCTAGCAAATATAGTACCTTTCATTGCAGGATTTCTTTAACCATAAAAGCAAAAACCAAAATAAAATCCTATCTTTTGCCTAAAGATACCTCTCCTGGCATCCTCTCCAACAAGGGTTGCTAGTTTTCTCACACTCACAGATATACAAAGCCAAAAGGAGGATTTCATGCACCATTCCTTGTTTTAGGCTCTTCCCTCAGCTTTCACCTTCTTGAAGGATCACTCCATTCTGTCTAGATTTTAGTGGCTATCATCCATGAACCTTCAAATTAGTCTTTACTCCTCCATCAATTCAGTCCTTGGGAAATTGATAACGATGATGGTGACTGTTGCTGGGGGTGGGGTGGGGGTAAATTAAAGACCCAAATAGAATTGTCTAGTTCCTCTATTGAGAAGATTGGCAGGTCCAGAGCCACCAACTTAGGACAAACCATGACAACAAGTAAAAGAAAAGGGTTGGCCAAAGTCTGCAGACCCTGTGGCCTCAGGCTTCTTAATGGTGCCTGACTTTTTTCTTTCATTTTAGTAACCTTAAATATTATTCTACTCTTCTTCCTCCTCTGAGAGAAACTGAGAGAACTGAGAGAAAGAAAAGCAAAACCCATTTATCAAATATACAGGATTAAGCAAAACAAATCCCTACATTGGGGATTCGAAGATACCAGCTTCATTCTGCACCTTGAGTTCATGACTTCTCTGTGAGATTGTGAAAAACAAGTTTTATCACCTGTATTCTAGAACCCTGGTTGGTCATTGTAATGATCAGAGTTCTTAAGTCTTTGTCAATTGGCTTTATGATGTTATTATTTTATAAACTGTTCCCCCGGTTGTGCTCTCTTCACTCTCCATTAGTTGATAAAGTCTCTCTAATCATTTTTATAGCACAATAATATCTTATTACATCTATATGCCATAATTTGTTCCGCTGCCTGAATTGATAGGCACCCCTTTAATCGTCAGTTCTTTGACTCTCCAAAAAGAGTGGCTGTAAACATTTTGGTACATGTGTGTTTTTGTTGTCTTTCTTTGATCTCTTTGGAGTACAGACCTAGCAGTGGCATCACTGGGTCGAAGGGTATGTACAGTTAGGGGTATAGTTCCAAATTACTTTCCTATTCCTTATATTCTTTAAGAAGTCAATTATTCCTGGTTATAATTTTAAACACATCACTTCCTTTTGATATTGTTTTTCACATGTTTTCACAACATTTTCATTTGCAGACACATCTCTTCATCTCCTTTATCTAATGAGTTATCCTATGACAAAGATTTAAAAAGAGAGAGAAAACCAACTAACACACCAATTGATTCTGATAGTACATGAAATATCCTGGTCACAGTCTCCAGTTCTGTAAGGAAAGGAGAGGATTTCATAGGATCACAAATTTAGAGCTGGAAGGAGCCTTAGAGGATATTAAGTCTGACTCCTTCATTTTACAGATGAGAAAACTGAGGCAGAGAGAAGTAAAGTTCACATGGCTGGTAAGTGTCAGTGGCAGGATTCAAATTCAGGTCTTTTTACCTCTAAGTTTAGAACTCTGTCTACTATGCTGCCCAGAAAATAGTGTTAGGAAAGTGTCCCTTGTTGGACATAATAACAAAACTCTGTGTTTTCTCCATATGTGCAGAAAGGCAATGTGATATAGTGGTCTAGAGATCTGGCATCGAAGCCAGGAAAACCTGAGTTCAAGTCTCACCTCTGATTTATCCTTGATGTGTGACCTTGGACCAGTCACAGCCTTTCAGAGCTCTTGGGAACTCTCTAAGATTATGTGTTGCAGAAAAGATGAAGAACTACATTGATAGAAGGAATGTATTCACCTGGGTGTTCCCTAAACCAGTGAAATCTCAGGTCTGGTCTCTATCCTTTTAAAGCATTAACACCCTTCCTTTGTAATGTTGTTATTCAGTAAGTCAGCATGTTCAGAACTAATTATGTTGCTATGCAAAAATTGCTACTTAAAATATTTGAGATGCTAAGTGTTTAATTTATTTAGATTGATTCATATAATATATATAGGATGTCCCAAAAGTCTCAGTGCAATTTAAAACTATTTAAAATTGTACTAAGACTTTTGAGACACCCTGTATTATTAAAGATGGCAGGAAGAAATATCATAGATTCATAACTGATATATAGTTCTTAAATATTAAAAAAAGAGCTTCCCCTGAAGCATATCCTTGAGGATCTTATAATCCAATGGGAGAACAGATGGATATAACTCTAACTAGGCAGATAGGTGGCACAATGGAGAGAATGGTGGGCCATGGACACTTACTAGCTATGTGACCCTGGGCAAGTCATTTAACCTCTGCCTCAACTTCTTCAACTGTAAAATTGGAATAATAATAATAACACCTATATCCCAGGGTTGTGAGGATCAAATGAGATAATATTTGTAAAACACTTTAGCACAGTGCCTGGCCTACAAAAGGCAGCATGTAAATACTAGCTATAATCTCACAAGGATGCTGTGCAGAAAGTGTTAGAATTAATGTATTTTTTTAAAAAATGGGATAGAAGCACTTGGCCAGGCATAGTGAAGCAGAGTCCAGCCTCAGCAATAGCAGTGGGGCAGTACTCCTGGGCCTGCAGCCCAGCATGGGATGGCAACATGAGGTCCTATCACAGTGGGGCAGAATCAGGCTCCAGCCTATGGGAGACAGAGTCAAGGCTCAGTAATGTCAGTACTTCTGCTCTGGCACAGGAGGTGTGTGTGCCATACCTGCTACATATCTCAGGGGGATGGAGAACATGGGGGCAGGACCCCGAAGCAGCAGGCAGTAGAGTGGATGGCTCTCTGGAACCCAGGAGCAGTGGTAGCAGGGAGCAGTACAGACCTCATTGGTAGCAGAGGGGGCAGACATGGGTGTCTGCAAAAGGAGGGTTAGCATAGACAATGACAAAATCAGGACCAGTGTAGCCTTTTGCTTACTGTAATCCAGAACTGATTGGCCCCTCTGTATAGCTACCAATATAACACCCAGTGGTAATTAGACAATTCTTCCCTAGGGAGGGATTGGAGGAGCAAGCAGTATTATTGTTGGCAGATGACTTCCTTTCTAGGGATCAGGATGAAGCAAAAGTGTCTAACCAACCTCCATATAAGAAGAGAAATCAGAGGCTTTTAGTAGGCAAAGATTTGGTACTGAACATACTCCCCACCCTCACCCTACACCCTTCACACCATGAGACTCTCAGGGAGAAGAAGGTTAGTGAGTTATGAAACTCTAAATGGCTAATGGTATAGGCCTTATAGGGCAGTTCTCAGTATTCCCTTAGCACTAAACAGGCTACCTGTAAGAGGGTAATGGTCTTTTTCTTTAAATGAAAAAAAAATGGATTAAATAATTCTTATTACAGATGACCTTGAGGTCATTTCTTTACTTGAAGAGATACACCATGACCTGCAAAGATTTGACATCATCTACCACGTGGACCTGATTACTTAGATTCTGGTTTCAGTTTTTCTGAAGGGAAGAGGCAATGCCTGGGATTTCTAATCTTCATTCTCCCACATTCAATTTATCTCTCAGGAGGATATTATATTCTTTCGTTTTGATTTGCTTTTCGGGTTTTTAGTTTTTGCTTTCCTCCTTTAATTCTGCCTATATTGGGCTTCTTGCATCTTGTGTTCAGAATATTCTGGTAATAGCTCTAAAGACATTTCAGGGATGGATGATCCTTTAGAACAGAGGTGACAAATGAAATGTAATTAGGAAATATTTAATAAAAGAAATAAAAACACAATAGAACATAGACTAATATGTGGTTTTCCAAGTCATATGTAAGATCTAGTAGCCCTGCTTTAAGGCATCACTGCTTCAAGACTTTGGCATTACTGCTTTAAGACTTTATCATTAAGGGGTGGAGTGTGGTAGGAGTAGTACCCTAAATAACTCCCACCCTTCCCCCTACAGGTTAGGCTAGTTCTTCTTAAAAGGTGTTTTATGAGGTAAATCATATCCTCCTGATATAATTGGTTCAGTGGACAAAGGCTTAGGCCATAAATATGACTTCCAGGTCATCTAGATATAAAACAGTCAAGACACAAGGAAGGGAGCTGCTGTCTTGGCGTATAACCACAACCAGCATCATGAGCCATGACCTGGGAAACTCTGCTCAAATGGATCAATTATTTATCATGAACAAAAATCCCTTCCTAGCTCTGAATGTCCTTTGCCTGCTATGGCTAAGTGAACCAAATTCTGTTAACTGTTAGATGGATTACAAGGTCTGTTTCATTCCATTTTTGAACTTAGAATACTAGGTGACCCCACCTAAGTCTGGTCCAGCACCTAACACCACATAAGGTCAAATAATACTCATAGTTTAGAAAGTGCCAGGCTTGGACTCAGGATGATACAGCTTTGGATGCTGCCTCAGAAACTTAACTAACTTGGTTCCACAAAGCATATATTAGCCTTGTTGCCTCAGTTTTTTCATCTGGGAAATGGGAATAGTAATAGTACCCACCTCACAGTGTCATTGAAAATGCAAATATAAATAATTTAAAGAACTATATGTATAAATGCATATATATACACATACATTTATTATCTTTATGATTATTTTTTATAATTTGTGCTTGCTTAGGCTGACTTGTGAAGGGTCAGTCATATTTTCCATGAGATGTTAAATTGATTTGGAATTTAATCTTGTGTTACTAATTTACTTTGGACATCCCATTCTGAAGGTGTAGTCCACAAGGGGAAATGATGATTATTCAGCTTAATCCACTGCTGGATTTATGCATCATAGCTAACAACATTAATTATAACCAGTATTTCCATGTCTATGCACACCTATAAAAGGCATTGTACAAAATGTCAAATATTCCTGAGCCCAGGTTGTGATATTAGTGGTTCCAGAATGGAAGGGAAATACAGAAAACATCCTTTGACTCCTGAACGACCTGAAATACAGCTAGTAAGTAGCAGCAGGAATGGTCTGCAATGTCTGATGCCTATTTTCAATCTTCATGTAAAACTAACATGATGAATGGGAAATCTGTATTTGTTATAATCACTTATTCTGCATTTCTATAGTGAGTTGGAAAGAATATCTCTAAGAACCCTTCTGCTTCTAATGTTTATATTCTTTTAACTGTTTATTGGAGAAAGAAGCGTGATTTCAGAGGAGAGATTACAGATGGTTTGTTGTCTCTGTGTATCCTTGAATGGCTAATGCAGGTACAATTTAATACATCCACAGTGGGAAATCTTTATCTATTTCATTTTTTAAATGTTCATTTGAGTTATGTCTTATTTTAGTCTATAGACAAAAGTAATTTTGACTCAGAAATCATAGCCTGCATAATTTATTATGGCATCACAGCCATAGAACTGAGAATGTCTGAGAAAGTGCAGACATTTTGGAATCAGAGGACTTGGCTTCCAATTCTACCTATCACCAGCATGATCTTGGGCAATTCCCTTAATGTTGCTAAGCTTCAATTGCCTCATCTGTAAAATGAAGAGGCTGGAGATGGCCTCTGAGTTGCTTTCAAACTTTAGATCTACAAACCAATAATCCCATTAGCACCAGACTGCAGAAACAAAGTTATATTTAACAATGCAGTACAAGCTGCAATGATAATTTTATTTTAAAAAACTAAATTAAACTTATTTTTGATTTTTATTTTCAATTCCAAATTGCAATGTTCATTTTAAAGAGCAAATGAAATGTCTCTGGTAAGAG